GACCCTACTTTCTAGAGTAAAATTTTGTATAGAATACGATGCCGAGTGGTAATCAGTCTGCCGTTGGGGCAGGTTAAATGAGTTTATTTGCACTTAAAGCGCAATCATTCTTGTATTATGAAGAGAAGCTGAAAATGATTGAAAGTAATCACACTTTCAATAAAAATGTAAACTTGCTAAATCCACCTTTAGTCTTAGTGACCCTGGAGGTCAAAAAGTGAAATTTGCCGTTTTTGCACTAGGAAGATTTAAAGCAATAAAATGTCAATGTAAAATATAAAAACTAAAGCGAAACCTGTTCTAATTCATAATAGGAACATTTAAAATTTATTTTTAGGGGGTCTTAGCACCAACCTTTACTTTGGAACGTTGAAAATGATCTTGCACTACAGAACCAACACACTTTGAAACCTGTTTCAAAAATACGTAAAAACTGTCAAATCAAAATCTCTCCGATTTTTTTCACAACGATTGTTATACATAATGATACTAGTTATCTGAAAAACAATTGAATAGTTTCAGTGTTGGACTCCAGCCTGCAGGCCGCGTGGATTTCCGAGAATCCCAGTCTAGGAAAACCGAAGTTAATCTGTGACGGGAAAACACGTATCTGACAACGAGATTAAAAGTTTGCCAATTTTTTATGAGTTTTTATGAAGTTCGCCGGGAGATGGACACAGATAAAACCGACGAATGCATTGTACATAGTAGTTCACAGGATATATATATGTTAGCGGGGAAAATTATGGCAGGCTTTGTGATGCGGCCTGCCATGAAACTATTCAATTGTTTTTTCTGACAACTAGTATCATTATGCATAGCATACGTTGTAAAACTAATTCGGAGAGATTTTGATTTAACAGTTTTTACATATTTTTGAAACAGGTTCTGAAGCGTTTTGGTTCTGTTATGCAAGTTCATTTTTGACGTTCCAAAGTAAAAGTTTGGTGCTAAGACCACCTAAAGATAAATTTTAAATGTTCCTATTATTAATTATAACAGGTTTCGCTTTAGTTTTTATATTTTACGCTGACATTTATTACTTTAAATCTTCCTAGTGGTAAAACGGAAAATGTGACCTTTTGACATCTGGGATCACAAAGAACAAAGCTGAATTTAGCAAGTTTACATTTTTTATTGTAAGTGTGATTACTCAGTGCACGGTGGGGGATCCATCAAATGGGCACAAAACCAAACACAACTTTTCTATAGTAAAATTTTGCGTAGAATACGTTGCTGAGTGGTAATCAGTCCATTATGTATAACAATCTTTGTTAAACTAAATCGGGGAGATTTCTATTTGACAGTTTTTACGTATTTTTGAAAAAGGTTTCGAAGTGTTTTGGTTCTGTTATGCAATATCTTTTTCAACGTTTCAAAGTAAATTTACGGTGGGTGCTAAGACCACCTAAAGATAAGTTTTAAATATTCCTATTATCAATTAGAAAGATTTCGCTTTAGTTTTTATTTTACGCTGACATTTTATTGATTTAAATGTTCCTAATGCAAAAAACGGAAAATTTGACCTATTGACCTCCTGGATCACAGAGAACAATGGTGAATTTAGCAAGTATATATCTTTATTGAACCAGCGGCTGCCAGGCAGGATACGCCCACATTTTGCAAGAGATGGATAGAGAACAAGCTAAAAAAAACCGAGAGCATTGCTAAAGCTGCAATATATACGTCAACATTCCTGCTTTGACTGATATGGCACTTTTTAAAATGAAGAGAATGAAATATGAAATGGCTGTAATATGACAAAAGGCAAATAAGGCTAGGCATTTGGTTTGTTTTGCCGAAATTGACTGATATGGCACTTTTCAAAATGAAGAGAATGAAATATGAAATGGCTGTAATATGACAAAAGGCAAAGAAGGCAAGGCATTCGGTTTGTTTTGCCAAATTTTCAGACAAAATATTAACAAACAAGTTGTTAAGTCTGACGTGTAATTATTTAGATATCATGGTTATGTTATGTTCTGTATTATTATCTCCCTTTGTCAAAGAGTAAATGGACACAGATCACCAAATATTCCTACGCCGTCACCCACGAAACAAGGGCCAAAGCTATTTTTAGTCTTCCTCTCCCTTTTCCTTTTTCCCCCTTTTGCATGGCGATTTTTGTTGACTTTTTGGTGTAGAATTGAGGAAAAGGGTTTGAAAATACATTTTCTGCCAGGTATTGGTGAATATTCATAATTTTGATGCGGAAGGATACAAGAGTTGAGAGGTTGGTTACGTTGAAATGTAGGGCCTGAAATTGCATGTTTACTTGTCTCTACTTCCAGCTTGTGTATCTCAAGTTTTTCATGAAGAACCTCATACGTGCTTTTGGGCAAGTGGTTGCCACATGTTGCTCCATCTGTGGTAGAAAGCGTTCTACCCAACGAAAATTTGGGAAAAAGTTAGAGCCGGTCTAAGATACGAGAGTTAACATTGGAGTCAATGGGGAAATCTTTAGTGATCTGTGTCCTGTCTGTGTGTGATAAGGCTGTCACTGATATGCCTTAGTTTTGAAAATATGAAGATTAAATTCTCAGAAAATATGAATAATATAGTTTGGCTACAGAAAAATTAAAAAAAGTTAATGAAAAAAAAATAAAATAAAAGTTTTGAAGAAAAATTGTAATTTTACTGCAAATTTCTCAATTTTCAATTTTTATTGAATTTTTAACAGTAAGTAAAATATTCTAATGCCCAATGTTGGCTTATTCAGTCTCAGAAAGCACAGATAAAGTGAACAGTATTGAAATTTCACCAAATTTTGTCTAAAAATCAGGAATATTCACAAAAAATCTTGAGATTCCCCCCATTTGGATGTAGAAATTAATATTTTCATGACTACTAAAATGAATCAAAATGTCTAAAAATGCCCATATTTTCTTTGCTAATATAACTTAGATGGGATCTACATGTTTCTCAGGTTTAGAAATAGCTCCAGCTTTCCTACAGAAAATTTAAAATTGGTAACACTGAGTTAATAATGTACAGCAGATGGGTTTGTACAAAATGTTCAAAACAGGGGTTGGCTCAATTTTGCCACTATTTTACCCAGAATAAGCATTTTTTTCTCCTTTGAAACATTACATTCTTGCATTTCCTTCATGTAGAAAGCAATATCCCAGCCTTTCTAGACATTTTTTACTCCATCATTCTGTTTAGAGAGGCAATAAATGCCCCACCCCACCCTTTTCTATTAATGTGTTTTGAGGGATTTAAATGCACCTGTATTGACATGAAAATGATCTTAATTGGAATTTGTGGTTGAATTACAGCTAAGAATGTTATTTTTCACCCAAAAATATTTTTTTGTGCATTTCAAGGATTTCTAACCCTTATTTGTTCAGAGTCAAACGTAGAACCCTGAGGCATTTCAGGCCAATGAGACCAGACCCAGATATAAAACTGGTGTAGATGTGTAAATGTCAGTTTAATGTTCAATATTTTCTTATCAAAATCCAGCATTTGTGGTGTTTGCTGCATTTATGTTGCCTATAAAACAATAAAATGTTAATTTTTCTCCTTTTCAGGTCTCTTTTTATGTTGTCAAGTCTGTCATGACTACTTTTTTGACTTCATTTTTTCAGGAAATTAATGTAAAGTTCCAGACATCTTGCTTCAGCACAAGGATTGCAATACAAATTTGTAACATGCCTCTGAGGTTTGAGATGTTGGAAACATTGAAATATTCCCAAATTTGTGAACATTGTGTATTCTGTGACCCTTCTGTTAGAGAGGGGTGATCATAGACCAAATATGGCATTTTTTTTCATTCATCAAGGCCTATTTTTAACCATAATTCATATTTATTGCACCTATTTTAGTTTATATGTGCATATGTTAGCCAGGGATGGTAAAACATAGCTGTTAGACAGATTCCTTTGGTAATGTAAGTTCTGCAACCATAGATTAGATTAATTCAATCAGTGGCATGTTCAGGGGGTAGGCATACATGTTTCAGTATAGATCTCTAATATTACAATCATTGCAACTGGTTTGCATTTTTTCTGTTTGCATATTGTCCACAGATTCTAAAAATATATTTCTTGTCCGTCCGGATATTTAAAAAAGTGGAAAATTATTGGTATTTTGAGAGATGCTACATGTAAATTTTGTACATTTTTCATCACATGGCAGTAAAAAATTGTATTTTTGAAAAAAATTCCAAATTATGAGTGTTTTCTATGTAGTTTCTTAACTTGTCTAATTTTTTCACAGAACTCAGATACTGCCTTTAATAAGAAAGATTTTTAAATTTTAGCACAAAAGGCCTATGGACCTGAGATGCACCAGTGTACATAAAGCAGCATGTGTACTTAAAGGGCCATCATTTTTACAGTTATTCTTTGATTTTGATTTTCTTTCACCGGCATGTTGCCAGAACACATGGGAAGGAAATAAAAAAGGCCTTTTGGTGATACCTGAAGTTTCATCCCTATATAGGACACAGATCACCAAATATTCCTACGCCGTCACCCACGAAACAAGGGCCAAAGCTATTTTTAGTCTTCCTCTCCCTTTTCCTTTTTCCCCCTTTTGCATGGCGATTTTTGTTGACTTTTTGGTGTAGAATTGAGGAAAAGGGTTTGAAAATACATTTTCTGCCAGGTTTTGGTGAATATTCATAATTTTGATGCGGAAGGATACAAGAGTTGAGAGGTTGGTTACGTTGAAATGTAGGGCCTGAAATTGCATGTTTACTTGTCTCTACTTCCAGCTTGTGTATCTTAAGTTTTTCATGAAGAACCTCATACGTGCTTTTGGGCAAGGGGTTGCCACATGTTGCTCCATCTGTGGTAGAAAGCGTTCTACCCAACGAAAATTTGGGAAAAAGTTAGAGCCGGTCTAAGATACGAGAATTAACATTGGAGTCAATGGGGAAATCTTTAGTGATCTGTGTCCAAATATGTTCTGTTGTCTCCCTTGATTGACTCTAATGTTTAGAGAACAAAAATATATATCATTTCCTGTTCTGGTTTTTGTGGATGTAGTTTCCCTCCATTTTTATGAGATGTGATTTTTTACAACACCAATGAATAAATATATGTGTACTCTCCTGAATATTGATTAACAAATAGTAGCAGAGCGTGTACCTGCATAATTTGAGGATGGCAGCCAATATTAATGTGAAGAATCCCCCTGATATGAAAGGGAAGACTTATGAGCAATTGAAGAATGAGATTGCCATGTGGCAAATTTTAACAGACCTTGACAAAAAGAAGAGAGCTATAGCCATTGCTTTATCTCTAGAAGTAGGGAGGAAAGCCAGACAGAAAGCACAAGATATTCCTGCTGCAGACCTGAATGTAGATGGTGGTGTTCAAATTTTATTGACAGAGCTGGATAAAGTCTTTGAGAAAGACAAGATTGACAGGGCCTATTCAGCATACACAGCATTTGATCAGTTTAAAAGAAAAGAAGAATCAATGTCTGTTTATATTATGGAATATGAACAGAAGTACACCCAAATGAAGAAGTTTGATATGACATTGCCACAGGCTGTTTTAGCCTTTAAGCTTCTTGACGGCGCCAATTTATCAAAGAGAGAAAGGCAACTCGCCCTAACAGCATGTCCCACAATCCAGTTTGAGGAGATGAAATCGGCCTTAAATCGAATATTTGGTGATAGTACCGGTACATTAAATTCCAAACAAGAAGAAGATTCATTCCTAGATGTTAATGTCACAGAGTCTGCATTTAGAGTCAATAGCAGTAGATTAAAATATGAAGATAGGCCTAGATCTAGATACAGATTTAAATCATCTACTGACAGCTTGAGAGTATCCCAGAAATTGAATCCGATGATTAGTGGAGCTGTTTCGAGATGCAGAATTTGTGATTCTCGTTATCACTGGATGAAAGAATGCCCTACTCGAATACAACACATTAACAATACTGATAATCCAGATGCAGCTGAAGAAAATGCCCACATCACTTTATATACTGGTGCAGATACTGATTTGACTCCCGGTGAAATTTTAATATGTGAAGCGGCTAACTCTGCTATCATCGATACTGCGTATTCATGACCAGTATATTATAGGGTTGATTGGTCGGTGTATAAAGGTGCTAATTAGTACTCATCAGTGTGGATAGAAGCCTATACGATAATTATTAATTAATTATTGGTGTTTGATGTATTAAAATTGTTTTTTTTTATTATTGAGTTGTTTAAATTATTTAATCTTAAGCTTGAGATTATAAATCCCGGCTTTGTTATTTTGTATTTTAAACTTCAAACCAATTCCGATGCAAGCTTGGAATTTGTATATATTTCGAATAAAATCAGAAACTATCACCATTTGATATCGATATCTCAGATACATATCAAGTTAACTATAGCCTAATTCCAATGTATCCTTGTATCGCTTGCCGTTCCACCGTGCGTCAGGGGGGTTGGATGGCTGAATGGTTAGCGTGCGCGCGCTGTATCATAAAGTCTGTCATTGAGTCGACTGGCGTGGTTTCGAATCCCCGGTTGTACGTGACAAGGAGTAGGGTCGCCTGTCCAACCTCGTGGGTTTTCTCTACGGGTCCTCCGGTTTCCTCCCACTGCTAAAGACCCCTACGCGCAAGCGAATTATTGAAATAAAATTAAACCATATGTTAGTCCCGAAATGACCTAATTGTGTCGAGTGGACGTTAAACCCCATTTCTCTCTCTCTCTCTCCACCGTGCGTCCCAGACAAGAAGGTCTTCAGTGTGAAGAGTGTAATCTATGGCAGCATAGAAAATGTATAGGTATGTATTTATAATTTCACAGATTTTGCTTGCTTTCATTAGTATTGAAATAAATCATAAGTATTGAAATAATTACTTACTCGAACTTATATTCATAAAATATTTAACCCATTCACTAAATTTTAAATAATTTTATTCTCTTTAGATATATCTCAGGCAGCATATAGAAGAGCGGTGAAAGGGTTAGAAGAGATTAAATGGACATGTACTCCTTGTATAAAGCCGTAAGTAACTTTTAAAAAATCAACAGAACCGAAACATCAATTTCTATAAGCAACGAAACATCTTTCATATTTTTACCGTATTTAATATTCTTACCACCGTATTTGATGTTTTAATTTAGTCAACTTCAATATTCTTATGTGTAGGGCCTAACATCTTAAGTTATACGCAATACTCAGTTCAAAGATGACTACGAAACTATGGCTATTATTAATCGCATCAACTGAATACGATGTTTTATATGTAAATATAGTCTTCGAATATGAAATATTTCAACTGTTGTTTGTTTTATGACTATTTAAATTATATAATAAATACCTTGTTAATCCTTCTATTGTCTTGTCTTAATTGATTAATTAACACCCATAGACATTGGCACTGATGATTACTAATTAGCACCTTTATATACCGACCAATCAACCCTATAATATACTGGTCATGAATACGCCGATTTTACCGGTAATGAATTAGCCTGCTAATGAATACGCTAGGATTCGCTAAAACAGTACCTTAAGACACTTGATAGTAAATATATTGGTCAGGTTAAAAGACAACCTAGTAATACTCCATTCAAATTTGGTGATGGTGAAACTATTAAGTCACATGAACTTGTCACTGTACCTGCAAGAATCAATGATAAATTTCTAGATATTGAAATTGAGATTATTGATAAAGATCTTCCTTTATTGTTAAGTAAAACTTCGCTAAAGCGAGCTAAAACTGTAATTGATTTAAATAATGATAAAGTAATTATGTTTGGTAAAGAAGTTGATGTAAATTTGACGTCTAGCGGACATTATTGTATAAGCTTAAATATTAAACCTCATTCTAATCAACCTTTATATGATAATGATTCAGTTTGTACTGAAGATACTGTTTTAATTGTTACTGATGATTTTTCAAAGGAAGATCAATATAAAATTCTTTTGAAACTCCATAAACAATTTGGACATGGGTCTTTTGATAGATTGTTAAAATGTACTGGTAAAGTTTCCTCTAATGTAAAAGATATTTTGTCAAAAGTTTGTATAGAGTGCACTATTTGTCAAAATCGTAAGCGACCTAACTATAAACCAGCTGTTGGTTTTTCGTTAGCCTCTAATTTTAATGAAATTGTTTCCTTAGATTTACATCAGCTGAGTAATGGTTTATGGTATCTACATATTATTGATGTATTCAGTCGACTGAGTGCTGCCGCTATCATCAGAAGTAAAGAACCAAAAGTTATTATTGATAAATTTATGCAGCATTGGGTTAGCATATATGGAGTTCCATCTATTGGTGTTTATTCAGACAATGGTGGAGAGTTCAACAATGAAGCTTTTCGTAATATGGCGGAACTATTAAATATGACTGTAAAGTGTACTGCTGCATACTCGCCCTGGTCGAACGGTGTTTTGGAGAGAAATAATGCCACTTTAACAGAAAATTTGATGAAAATACAAGAGGATACGTCATTATCCTGGGAGACAGCATTATCTTGGGCCGTTTCTGCTAAAAATTGTCTGCACAATGTCTATGGTTACAGCTCATATCAGATAGTATTTGGAAAGAATCCAAATTTGCCATGTCCTTATAGATGAACCGCCAGCTCTAACAGGAAGAACAATGACACAAATAATGAGTGATCATCTTTCAGCATTACATGCAGCCAGACAAGCTTTTATTTCAGCTGAATCTAGTGAAAAGATCAGACGAGCCTTACGAAAACAAGTTAGACCTTATGGAGGGAATTACGTTTCCAGAGACAAAGTTTATTACCTACGAGATCAAGAATGGAAAGGACCTGGATGGGTAATTGGACAAGATGGTGTAGTTATCTTTGTTGGTCATGGAGGTGCATGTGTGAGGGTTCATTCTTCCAGATTGAGAAAAGCCACAGATGAAAAGATAGCAACTTTTACACCTCAAAATCAGCATTCAACCAATTCCAATACCCAAGATGAGCGAAGAAATGAATTAAGAAAATATGTTGAAGATTGGGAAAATATGCGACAAAATACTGAGAAAACTAAACCGGTAGTTTCATTTGACGATGACAATACTACAGAAGATGTTAACGGTCAACAACTTGATGAAGATGTTGTTAACGGTCAACAACTTGATGAAGATGTTGTTAACGGTCAACAACTTGATGAAGATAGACAACCTGATAATAGACAGAATGATAGACATCCAAATGTACAAAAGAAGTGGGATGTACGAAGTATGGATATTAAAACTGCATTTTTACAGGGCAATACTGTATCTAGGGAAATATACTTAAAACCGCCTAAGGAGGCCCTGGTAAAAGGAATGTTATGGCGACTAAACAAGTGTGTTTATGGGCTTTCAGATGCCTCCTTAAAGTGGTATGAAAAAGTTAAGACAACCCTTCTTAAATCTGGAGGCAAGATATCCCAGGTGGATCCAGCTGTATTTTATTGGTACCAGAATGGTACACTTCTTGGTTTACTTGCTGTACATGTTGATGACTTTCTCTGGGCAGGAACCACTGAATTTGAAAGAAGAGTTATAGATAAGATACGAACAGAATTTAATGTTGGTAAAGAGGAAACTGATTGTTTTAGGTATGTAGGACTGAATATATCACATAACAAGAATGGCATTGCTATGAATCAACATGATTATATTATGAACTTGAAGCCAATACAGATTGATAGGAATACCCCACGTCAAGCTCTACTCACAGAACCTGAAAAAACAACTCTCCGGAGTAAAGTAGGACAGTTATTATGGCTTGCGAATCAGAGTCGCCCCGATTTAAACTTTGATGTTTGTCAGCTTGCTACTCAAGTTAAGAATGGTACTGTACAGACACTTTATGATTGTAATAAAGTGATTCGTCGAGCTTTATCAGAAAATGTTGACTTGAAATTTCAACATTTGGTTGGGGAACTCAACATATGTGTATTTAGTGATGCTTCTTTTGGAAATCTACCAGATGGAGCCAGTCAAGGGGGTCATATTATTTTGTTATGTGGAAGGGATGAGAAGTTTAACCCTCTGTGCTGGCAGTCAAAGAAGATTCGAAGGATAGTTAGAAGCACTTTAGCATCAGAAACATTAGCTCTAGCAGATGCTATAGATAATAGTATTTTCCTTAGAACATTACTTGGTGAATTATTGTTTGACAATCCTCATCAGAATATACCTATAAACTGTTATGTTGACAACAAAGATCTGCATGCTGCTCTATATTCTAATAAACTGGTGACAGAAAAACGATTACGTTTAGAGATTAGTTCACTTAAAGAGATGATGATCAACCATACTGTTAACAAAATCAATTGGACATCTGGCAGTAATCAGTTGGCTGATACATTAACCAAAAATGGTGCTTCCCCAGCTACGTTAATCCAATCATTACAAAATGGTGCATTCTAGATAGACTTGTATATTAAGCATACTTACATGTTTGTTTCTTGAGTAAGATTTTCTTTTTGTTTAATATAAAAGAGAGAAGGATTTGATTGTTAAGTCTGACTTGTAATTATTTAGATATCATGGTTATGTTATGTTCTGTATTATTGTCTCCCTTTGTCAAAGAGTAAATATGTTCTGTTGTCTCCCTTGATTGACTCTAATGTTTAGAGAACAAAAATATATATCATTTCCTGTTCTGGTTTTTGTGGATGTAGTTTCCCTCCATTTTTATGAGATGGGATTTTGTACAACACCAATGAATAAATATATGTGTACTCTCCTGAATATTGATTAACACAAGTCAACAGTGAGGCTGATGTCCCCCGCTGAAATCCCAAAATAAATAAATGACACATATTAATTAATCGCACATTTCTTTTTTCAAAAGTATCGAGGAAACAAACTACACACTAAGTTTCATCACTCTCTATCAGATAGAATCAAGATTATCTTGTCTCAAAGTATCCACCAATGAAATTGATTAGCTCATCTTAGCTTTAGCTTGAAATGTTAATCATTGAAATCAGTCAAGACATTCACCTAATGAACATCTACATCAGCTTTAAACGTTCTACCTCAATTAAAAGCAGAGTTTTTATGTTCCAAAGTCTTGACCAAACAAATTGTTTATCGCTCCTTAGCCCAGGCAGAAAATTTGCACAATCGAACTTAGTCAAGGTAATGAAATAATGAATCTAGATTCTGAGTTTCATCGCTCTCAATTCATTATAACCAAAGTTATCGTGCCCTTAAAGCATCAACCAATCAGATTGCTTATCTCTGCCTACCATAAGCAGACAATGCGTTGATCATCGAACTCCATCAAGGGATTCACCTAATGAATGCCTACACCAAGTTTGAACATTTTAACTCAGCAGAAAATGTTCATTATCGAACTTAGTCAAGGTATTGATGAAACAAAGCTATACACCAAGTGTCCTCACTCTCACTTAATTAGAACTTAAGTTATCGTGTCCCAAAGCATCAACAAATCAAATTGCTTATCTCTGCTTACCCTAAGCAGAAAATGCTCATCTTCAAACTTCATCAAGGCATTGACCCAATAAACACCTACACCAAGTATGAATAGTCTAGCTCAATTAAAAGGAGAGTTATTGTGTTCCAAAATCTTGGCCAATCAAATTGCTTATTGCTCTGCTTACCCTGAGCAGAAAATGTTCATTATTGAACTTAGCCAAGGTATTGATGTAATGAATGAAACTATACACCAAGTTTCATCATTCTCACATAATTAGAACTAAAGTTATCGTGTCCCAAAGCACCAACCAATCAAATTTCTTATCTCCGCTTAATTAGAACTAAAGTTATCGTGTCCCAAAGCATCAACCAATCAAATTGCTTATCTCCGCTTACCCTAAGCGGAAAATGCTCATCTTCAAACTCCATCAAGGTATTAACCTAATAAACAGCTACACCAAGTTTGATTATTCTAGCTCAATTAGAAAGAGTTATTGTCTCCCAAAAAGTGTGAAGGACAGACAAACGGACGAACACATTTTAATAGTGGGTGTGACACTGCCCCAGGGGCGCAGGGGGTTTGGAGGAGGGGGGGGTGCATCAACATCAATAGTTGCCGTCCTTAGAGTATAAGGAATAAGTATACCAAGATAATCAGGCCTTCACGTTTGAGGCGCGCTGTCGCTCTCACGCTCCATCGCTCACCTAAATCCCAA